CGAGAAAGAACAGTCCCTGAAGGTCAGGACTGAAATGCCCCCAAACAGTGGCTCTTCTATTTCCTCTGGGTCTAGGCCGAGTGGCCCCTAAGGTTCTAGAACTATTTGCAACCCTGGAGACCCTCCGGCAGTTCTGGCTGAGTTTACCGTGTTCTTTTTATTGCTTTTAAGTCTTACTCAATCATGTTCAAAGCCTTGGGCTAAAAATAACTCCCGGAAAGGGAAAAGGGGAGAATTCTGGGTAGAGGAGGAAGACGGTATTAGAATGAGGCCTTTGGTTTAGGAACGATCTTGTTGAATTAAAGCCACTTCTCTGGCTTACGGGAGACGAGAGCCATTTCCCACATTATCTTGAAGGAATTTGACAGCTGCCAGGGTTGAAAGAGGCAAGATCTTGGGGACAGTTTTCAGAGAAAAATGAACGTAATAGCACCCCCTCTCCACAAGGAACTTTTTTTTGATTCTTTCAAGCCGAGTGCCGGCAGGGGTGGGTCCCCCCCTAGACAGCACCTTTAACGGTTGCCATGGAGACGTGAGTCCTCTGTTTTAGAGGACGTGCCTTGAGAAGCAAGGAAAGGAACTCTGGGGAGTTCTTGGGCTCTTCCGACCTTGCACGCGCTATTTAAGTGACTAAGTCACGACACGACTCGACTCTCCAAAACATTCAAAGTCTCAGAAGAGATTCACAGTGGCCTGCGGCGTGTCAGCCAGCCCGGGAAATGCAGACCCAGTTCAAACACTGGACAGAGACATCCAGCCCTGACCCACGAGAAAGGATTTCAAGTCAACGGTCCAGGCCCATCGTCTACGTTGGGTGATCGGGTTCTCCCACACTTCTCTGCAAGATTAAGGCTTTTCACCCTAACACGATGCAGTCTGGGATGAACTAAGCCTTGGGAGCCAAGAAAGAGATCACAGCACGCAAAGGCCTGTTCTGGCTGCATCTGGAATTTCTCTAGAAGTAACAGGTTCCTTTTCCAGATGCTGAAAGGATTCCAGAAAGCGAGACATGTGCCTAAATCCCCAAAGCCTTTTCCTTCTGGGCTCTAGATTTCTGTTAGCCAGCAGCCTCTGGTGGTTTGTGTGTAGCTCATCAGATCCGGGGAAGGCCAAGGAAAACACTCCCCATGGCAAACCCAGCTGGGGATGAGCCGAAGAGTGATTCTGGAAGAGAGAAGCCCCGAAGGGTTCTTTTCACAGTGTTGCGAAGGGCAGAGTAAGAACACAAAATTCGGAGACTACTTGAATGACATCTTTCCTTCTTCCCACGCGGGCACTAATATTGGATAGATGCATTCTGTACTTAGAAAATGCCACTCAGAACATGAGGGTCACAAATTCACTTCACAGGATCACACTGGGAGGATGACACAAGACAATTACAAAATGCCCAGAACAGTATCTGGCACAGCGTGAGTGTAAATAATAAATATTAGTTCCTTTTCCTCTTTCCCCAAGATTAGGTTAGATCCCAGATAAGGTACAAGAGTCTCCTGAGAGACGTGGGGGAGCTAGTGAGTCTAAAGGTCGGTCATGGAAGTCAAATACATTCACTCAGCAGCCCCGGTTTCTGCTGTAGTTTTTTTGATCGTTTTCCACAGACTGACAGACATGTTTTCCCCTTGGAAAAACATGTCCGTTCATTGGCAAAAGGCAATTCATAGAAGTCACAAAATTCCAAAGGTTCACTGCAAGGACTTTTGCGGCAGGGAAGCCAACTGCCTCGCCCAGGTGCCCACAGGCTTGTGGGGGCCCAGCGATCCACACGCGACATCCAGAAGCCAGTGTCCCTGCGTCCAGCCACCTTTCCACCGTGCTCCCAGACAGGCATTCCCTCTCCCCGACCTGGTCTTCTTTCTCTACTGGGGTTTTGCACAACTTCACAAAAAGCTTAATTTCTGAGAAGTACAAAGAAATAAAGCTCTAAAAATGCCTCCCAGGGGCAAAAGCACGGAAGGCAGATTTTCTGTCAAATGATCCAGTGCAAGCTAATGTTTTTTTTTTTTTTTTTTTTTAATTTGGGAGTTGGGAGGCTTTTCAAAAAGAACATATCAGAGTCCTGAAGTCCAAGATTCAGAGTCAATATTTTCCTGGCTTAAGACATGGATCATTTTTCTTCCTATGAAACCAACATATTTAATGGGGTTTCCTTCCTAAGACCTGTAAGGATGGAGCGCTCCTTTGCAATTCTTGCCTAATGTCTAAGCAGTTTGTAATCAATACGCTGCCTGCATCACAGGTACTGAGGTGAAATTCACGAGAGGTACAATCTCGGCTTTTAGCAGGCTTCTGGGAGAGTCTGGCCCTTAGAGAAAAAAAAGTGTCGATGAGGTTGGGAGGAGGGCAGTTAGGACTCAAAGCAGGATGGCATCCAGTGGGATGGAGACGAGGGCGCCATCATCCCTGGGCTGCTCCTGGGAGCCGTCAAGCGTCGGGCGTGGGGTGGGGGGGCTCATCCTGGGCTGATTCTGGGGGCTCCCCTGACGCAGAGGGACTTCCCTGCCTGGCAGCCACACCAGCGTGGACCACAAAGGCCCTGAGGCTACTCGTTCCTCTGCCGCCGGCTCATCCCTCGTTCGAGTCAGAGCAGCCCAGTCTCAGAGCGGGGCCTGTGAGGAGGGGGAGAGACCCGTCTCCCTGCAGGTCCGTGGGTGGCCCCTGCTGCCACCGAGGGCTGACCTGGTTTCCTCGTCTCTGGACTTCATTCGTTCTTTGTCCCTAAATAGACCCTAACACCCCTCTCGACTCCAGCCTGGGGGCTGAGAGGCTTGGCTGAGGTAAAAGACTCTTTTGAGGTTCTCTGCCAGTAACAAACACGTGCTCAGTTAAGACAGAAAGTACTCCATGATCCTGAATCTCCGCCTACCAAAAGAAAGCAGCACATACGCTGCTGAACTTTGACAGCTCCACAACCCAGGAGCACAGACAGCCTGTGAGACCCTGCCATAGATCTTCTAGACTGTCGGCCCCACCCACTGGCCGCCGGGCAGCTGTATTTTGAAATTGCACCCAAGCGTGGAGCCATGCTATCAACTCTCTGCCGAATGCTTCTCACAGTCCATTTTTCGTCCTTCCTTCTTCTACCTCCTCCCCCCAGGCCACTCCACTCCCTCCCTCCTTCCATCTCCCTGAGTCCTCAGCCAGCAGAAGCACTAGTTTCTGGATGATTCTTTTCATGGTATCTGAGACAATCTGCTTCATGTTCAGATACATGGCGGGGGGAGGGGGGTAGGCAAAATATTTCCGCATTAGACCCTTTGCAGAAGGCATAAAAAAAAAAGTACAAACACAAATCACTTGACAATTTTATGATTAAAGCCAACGATGGAAAAAACAGTTTTGAGTGTTGCTAACATCGTCAAGCATCTCATTCCAACCCACTCAACCACCCCGCTTCTCAGACCTATTTCTAGATATACCAAACTTGTCCGCGATGAAATCATGTCTGCACATTGAAGAGTTAAACCTGGGAGACAAGAACTCCAGGTGAAAAGCCCCCCCCCGAGCGGGAACCAGTTTCTAGTTTTACGAAACACTCAAAAGTCAACTTCCCAAGAACACTTGGTTCTAGGTGCACATGTATCATGTCCACATGCTAAACATGACTAGAAAAAAATGGTATGAGCATGTATCATCTTTGGGTAGAAGGTGGTGGTTTTCTGGGAGGACAGGATGCGCTCTGAGAACACCAGGTAGAGCAGCCTGTGGGAGATGCTTGGCGCCTGTGTCACTCTTGCTCGAGAAGAATCAGCAAATCATGTAACAGTGAACAAAGTTCCACGTGGACAAGTTTCAGGGGGCGCTCAGCAGTTTACTGACAGTTGAGGAAAACTATTTTAGTCACTTGGCCAAAAGCCACACGAAGGCAGGGAACGTAAACCCCTCTGCGACTGGACTCTTTCTGCATTTTTCTGCTTGAAGCAGGATAAAAAGCCTTAAATTTTGGCCGCATCTCTATTTATGGAACAACCACAGCTGCTCCCCAGAACAGCGGCTGCAGGCTGAAAGAGTGAAGGGCTTTTGTTGCTACCATCGGAGTCCGTTTTCTGTAGCACTTGACTGAGTTTCCCGCCCCCCACGTCTGTGCCCCGGGGTCTGACGGCGGATCGGGAATCCATCCACGGCGCCATCCGTTACACGGATTTTAAAGTCAAGGCTCATCTTCTCGGCAAGAGCGAATTCAGCGGCTTATTCTGGCCTGTGGCAGGTGAGCTCTCCGCTACTCGGGACGAGTCACGACTCCCCACCTTGGAGGGTGGCAGCGTGGCTGATCCTGAGCCCCCCCTGTTCAAACCCCACAGGAAGAGAAACCTACATTCCCCCTCTGCGCTTCTGGGGTGCACAGTGCACCCTGGCCTGCGGGCGTAGCATTTAGCAGGGCGCCCTGCCCTGAAGGTCACAAAGAGAACCCTCGTCAAAGCTATCAAACGCGTTAAAAAAATACAAAAGTTATTTTCTCCTTTTGATTGCTATTTACTTGTGACAACATCTGTTAAAAATATTACTTCTGTCTCTGAGAAGAGATCATTCTCTTCATATAATATGGAAAAATAAACTCTACCAAACCCACAGTTCACATTCCCCCAGCACTGACTGCCCCAGGGCTTCGGCTTCTGCATCTCCAAACAGCATCACCAGGGTCAACGTACTACATGTCCAGGACGGGAACGCACGGCACTGTCCTGGCCAGGGCTGTGCGGGAGCGCGGAAGGAAGTGGCAAGGCTCACGGAACTTTCGGGAAGGAGCGAGTGAGGACGTAGGGTGGCTGATCTGCTAATAAAATCAAAGGACGTGGGGTGGTTTCGGGCCTTCCTAAAACGTCAAGGGGCAGTCCCTCATCTCCTCTGACCACCGGAGGCCCTGCCAATGGGTGGCGGATTGGTGGGAGGGGAGGGAGCCATGAAGCTCAACTGTCGGTGTCCCCTGCAAAGCAGGGCTCCTCTTCCGCACCCAGGATCACCGTTAGACACTGAACGGGACGAATGGGAGAAGACAAGGATACATAAAAACAGTAAAATGTTTATTTTCTTAGAAAAAAAAGTGGGGAAGAGGGATTCAAAATGATTGTGATCACACTTCCAACTGCTTCTGAGCAAAGCTAATGTTGCAAGCTTAATCCTCGATGAAGACACCTCGTCAACGAAACCACCTGCCGCTCGCGCCTACGTCACTCTGGCAGTCCCGTCCCCACATGCTCTTAATGGGTAATGGCTTCTCTACCTCTTCTTAGCAGAGAAACCAGGCTTGCCATAGCAACCATCCCGTCTCCAAAGCGCAGCACTGGCAGTGGGAAGCAAGGCTCTGGACCGCTCGGGAGAGACAGAGAGGGAGGAGGGAGGGAAGGAGATGCTTGTCTTAGAAGCAGAACAGTTCTACGACAGAAGTTGGATGTCTGAGTTCACCACTACCTCATCTTATATAGAAAATCGTTTGGAGAGCATCTGGAAAACCAACAGGATCTTTAAGGTGAAAATGCAGAATTTTGCTGCATACCTGGACACAAGAGAAGTGAGAAGTTGCAACAAGTTTTAACTAGCAGCAACAAAGAAAGTTCGAGAACAGTTTGTGTGTGTGTGTGTGTGTGTGTGTCTGTGTGTTTGTTTTTAGCAATATTCCTTTGCAAGTTCATTAAGAAACACTGTAATTTAATGGGGCATACGATATGGAACGATCTTCTTTTCGCTATAGTGCTGTTCGCTGAAGAGAGAACCGACCTTTGCAAAAATTTCAACTGGGGTGTAACCTATTTACACAGTAGTAGCTCCTGGTTTCAGTGGTAGGATGGGTGCTATGTGACATCCTCTTCTTCGGAACAGTAATCTCGACCCTGGAGGGGAAAAGAGAAGGACAGTATGTGAGTGAGAAATTCAAAGCAGAACCCAAGACAGTGAATCACTGGCAATTTTCTCCCAACGTCTGTCTCCTTGGAAGAGGGCTCAGGCTGTATCAGTGACTACAGGCACAAGGGAGAGAAGCCACAAATCCGTCTTGGCTGATTTATCAATGGGATACGCCTCAGGGCACGGAAGTGTTACCGAGCCCCAAATAAACCCTTGCTTTATATAGGTAAGAACTTACGTTAGGCACATACAAGACTCAGTCTTTCACCACAAAATTACCAAATGGACGATCCAATCAGGAGACCAAGTTCTCAAGACCAAGAGAAACTGAAATAAACAATGAACAAGTCACTTTTGGCTGGCGTCAGGGCTGCTCATGATCTATGGTGGTGTATCTCCATGCCCGGAATTTATAATTTTACAGAAGGGGAGGGTATAATCCAGGGATGTCTTAGTTTGAATCCCCTCTAAATTAAAACAGGGGATTAAAAAAAAAACTCAAAGATTTACTGACATTTGTATAACAAATCTGGGACTATGGGACTATGCTTGGTTTATGTAGGAGGCACAAGAAAGGCGAAAATGCTTCTTTGATTCATTCGCCACGAAAACAGGTCACTTGAAGGCTTAAGGACAATACACCATCGTTACTTTTGAACAGTTTTCATCCTCTCTCCAGGAAGTTATACAGTCTACGAGGGCATGGTTAGGACTGGGATTCAAGCGTCACGTCTGACCCAGGTGGGTTGTCTTGGTCAAAGCCTTCAGCTTCTTGGTCCGTAATCCCTCAAGATAGGACAGGAACCTGCCCTGCCTGTACCACAGGGTCCCAGACCAGGGCTTTATAAAAAGGTCATGTGTTAATACCGTTTGTACCCTTCAACCTGTCTCTTTTTGTATACGCACCACACGCTTACATTTCGGAGCGGCAGAGGGAATATTCCTTGAAACACAGAATTCCCTACGTAACTGGAACTTATTCCCAAAGGTAAATTTAAAGAAAAAAAAATTTTGCATAAAACTAGTTCTCAAGTGTCTTACAGGTTTGTCACCGTGTGTACACCGAACGGAAGAGCTAAGCGTCATCCTAACGAGGGCTGTACCATCCGGCCAGGCAGTCATCCTGGCTCTGTGACTTACTAACTCTGGCATCTCTATCACGCTCCCTTTCTGTACCTCGGTTTCCCCATCTGTTCAGTGAAGAAAACAACAATACCCACTTCACACGCTTGCTGAAGATTAAACGAATTAACAGTCATAACGTGATGGAATGGTGCCCAGCACAGCCTTTTGTACACGTTGTACGTGTGTAGTGTGTATGCAGATGTGTTTGGTAAAAAAACGCTGCCACACCGTGAAGTCTCAGGGGCCCGCGGAGCACGAGAGGTCGCCAGCTCCCACGCTAAATGGCCCCACCTTGCCTGTTCTCCTCGAACGTGATTCACTAGGGGGCATGGTCTGGTCCCCCACCCCCCCCTGCAACTTGTAGCATGTCTGAGCCCCGGGTCATCTCCAGGTTGACTTTACTTGGCAAGGAGAGAAGCATGACTCAGCACCCATCAGCAGTCTCCCTGGTGACACCGCTCAAGTGGATGTCATCCTAGCCTTGGCCCAGACCCCTTGGGAGAGCTGCATGCTGGAGAGCTGGAAAGGAGAACCTCGTGGACCCTGTCGGTTGGGAGTTCAGCCTTCAAGGGGAGAAACAGGACACATCCAGGCATACCAGCACAATGCTAGAAACAGACCTGGCGATGCTGTCCACGGATCCTCAACTCGTGAGGCTCGGGGAGGAGATCTGCCAGCGGGCACCAGGGGTTTAGCTGGAGGGGAAAGGCAGGGCTCGTGCAGTTTTTATTAGGAAAGGGAAGAGGACATATCCAGCATATATGTGGACAGATACACTGTGACAGCAGGCAAAACACCGGGCTTTGGTTTCCTGGGGATAATCGTGGTTCTCTCTCTCTCTGGGTTGTGATCAGGATTCGATGGGAAAACACAGTGTGTGGCAGGTATTCAGTTAAGGTCACTGCTGCTGCTGCTTTCACTGTGATCATTGTTATTAGACACCCCATGTTTGACCAGCCCCGCCACAGGGGGACAGGGGTCTCCTTCCTTGTGGCTGTCGGTGAGTGAGGACTGTGGTCATACACTGTGATCGGAGAGATGGCGGCGAGACCTTCCTCCCGCCCCGCAGCCTTGTACCTGAGATGGGCCAGAACCCTGTGCACTTGGATAAAACTTCTGTGAAAGACACCTAAGGCCCTTTCCTTCTATCTGAACGAGCCCGCAAATAAAAGGCTTGGCCAGCTAATGTGGTATTAACGCAGCAGGAGCATTTCAGGGACAAACCCACATCAGCTGTCTCTGTAAACCCGAGACTGTAATAATCATTTCCTGAGCATTTGCTTCTTGGAAATTATCATCACTCTGAGGAGGAGGAAGAAAATGCCATCAGGTGCTTTGCAGACATTATTTGCTTGACTATTGACACTGACCCTGTCGGGGGAGTGGTGCTGTGTTACCTGGAGGGAAATCTCAAAGGGGCCCAAGACCACAGGGTTCATCCTCCCCCTTTTTGTGATGTCTGCAGTGGGCTGACAACTGAATTCAAATGGCAATCAGTTCCCTGCTTGTTATCACCCGCCAGCAGCTCCGAGAACCAAATATTTCATGGATGGAAGATTTGGAAATTAAAGGTCTGGAGGGTAAGAGCCCCTAGGGGGCTGGCACCCTTCTAAGGATGGGGAACCCGAGAACTGCCACGGGAACACCCCACCTGCATGCGAGCAGGCCTTCTGCAACATGACTGCACGTCTCATGTAAATGTATAAAGAACTGTGCTAAAAAGAGAACCTGAAAACCTTGAGCTGGCAGAAGGCAGAGGTGGGAGTCGGCCGGGTTTGGGGGGACAGGCAATTCTTCCAACTGAGGGAGTCCTTCCCCGTAAAGGGTCTGCAAAAGGGATGTCTGTAAAGATGCTTCCCACAGTCAGAATTGGGACCGGGGGACACAATTCCACCCTTGTGCAAAGGACCCACTGAAAGCTACAGGGAAGAAGATTCCGACGAGGCCCTTGCAAGGCCAGAAAGTCCCGGGGATGCTGAAAGGAAGGGCTGTTTGAAGACCCACAGGGGCATCATGGTGCAGACTCGAAAATCTCGAAGAGCTCTTGCCCACGGCCACACCCCTACTCTGTACAGGTTTCTGTGTCCTCGTCAGCTGTCTGTGCTATCTCCTTGGAAATGTAAAGAAATTTCTGTCAGCTCAGAATATACATTTCCAAGGTTTTAGGGTGAGGATTTTTGTTTATTGAAATGTCCAGAATTTCAATATCCTAGGAATTAGGGATATTAAGGAACAGAGAAGGGAAGACCATTATCCTAATTTTAAATTCTGCTAAAGAGGGGCAACTCAAGGACTGACTTCAAACAAGAATCGTTTTCCAAAGTACCTACAGTGTTATCTCCTTAAGTTTAACGAGACAAACGGTCAAGGACTGGCTGCCCAGTTGCGGATGTGGTTTTATCTTGGAAGTCTCCAGTACATTTCTGTAGACCTGTGTGCGTTCAGCCCAATACATATACCTCAAGTACATAACACTCAGCTGTGAACTGAGTATTTTTCCAGTGGGGTAGATCAGAGCCATATGGCTGTTACTAAAAAGATGCAGCGACTCTCCATTTCTCCATCTGTAAAATGGGGACAGTAAGACCCAACACACAATGTTGATGAAGGAATTAGAAGTAACACACATAAGGTGTTTGGCAAAGCTTTGCACATGGGAGGGAGGTAATTAATAAGTTAGAGCTCTAACGATGACATTGAAAAATGAGATCAACAGATGCGGGAGTGAATAAACTGTTGTGATAAGACATTGGGCCACCGCTGAATGAGTAAGTCACTTTCAGGTCCTCAGACAAGCCGGATGCTTGGGTGCTCGTCCCTTGTCCTCCGTCCTGACTGGCTCTCCCTGCCTTCAGCCCTCCCCACACCCATCCCTTCTCATTTTCTGGATCTCTGCTTAAATGCCACCTCACTGTCTTCCCTGAACGCCTTATACACAATAGCACTTCCCTTACTCTGCTTCATTTTTATTTATATTACGTATCATTTCCCGACATTAATGTATTAATTCCTTTCTTTATTGGCTGTTTTCTCTCTCGCATAGAAACATCAGGATTGTAGAGACTGTTTTCATGCAGTGCTGCGTGTTCAGGACTCAAGACTAGTGTGAGCCGCATGGGAGATGCTCAGTGAATATTTGTTGCCCAAGCGAAAGGATGAAAAATATCTAGAGTTGTGCAGTTTCAGAGTTGAAAGGGGACTTAGAGGTTTTCCCCTCTGACCTTGCATCTAATGCAGGATGGGCCTCCATTTACCCCGTCCCAGACTGGGAGCCTTCTCTTGTAGGTTGGAAAATGTCAGATGGTTTTCCAAGCTGCCCATGACACCGTTCAACAGCTGGACCCAAACTCTGCCTTTTTGTAATTCCCAAAGAATGGCTTACTCTAGGCCTTTGGAACCAGAGGATGATTCTTCCCAGAATGACATCACCCCTTGGTTCTGCACCTGCAAATAACATGGCTCTATCTAGGTCTCCGCCTTACAAGGGTGCCACTTCCCCATGATCTTATTAAAATGGACCTATCAAGAATATCACCTGCACAGAATAAAATATCCCAGATACACAGCATAAGAGAGGTCAGAATTCAGGAGCTGACAAAGGGAATCACCAGGAATGACAGATTCCAAGAGAATGGATGTGCTCAATCTTAACAAGAGAACTTCTGCCAAGGTTCTGGAGAGGGAAACAGCTCTCTGGGGAAAGAGGGAAATAAACTTATACAAAGGAATAGAAAAAGGTCACAAGAAAGAAGATAAAAAGAGGAATGCACTTGATCACGTGAAGACAAACTTTTGCAGGGCAAAAAATAATAAAATAAAAAGGCAAATGCCATTAATGGGAAAAATACCTGTAGCATACCAT